CTTGTATAAATGTTGTCAAAGACTGGTGGGTATTTTGTTTTTACTAATTGTCTTGGACTACAATGTCAGCCTTTGGTAGTCCAGTGATACTTTGCCATTTATGCCAACATAAGCTGTTTTCCCCACACATCTTTTGTAAATTTTTTCCCTCAGATCTTTTGTGCATCTTAGTGATGTTTCCATTTTGTACACAAATAGCACACAACTTTGTGTGCTATAGTTGAGTCTGTCTCTACAGATGCCAAGGATGAGTTAGTGATTTATCACTAGAGCCAGGCTGACATCATGCCTATAATGTTATGGAAACTATGAGGTCTCTGGTATGTTTTGCTAATTTGGCTGATGCCTTGGTTGTGTGTCTGCTGTTGTTGCTGTATGGAACATGGCATGAGAATGTGCCATGTTCTTGAGCAGGACATGGACCACTGTACAAGTTTTTCCAGATGCCTTTTCTGTGATTTTTTTTATTGTACAGCACTTGTGACCACTAAGTGATCATTTCTAATAGAGAAAACTTTTGCAAGTCAAAATAAATTCCATGAGAAAGGATGGTCTCGGTATTTGAACTGTTTATTAAGAAGACCTGGCTAGGTCTAGAATTATCATTAAATTCATTGCACAATCTTCACAAACCTCGCTTACATCAATGAAAGGAATTCATGACACAAAAGTGAAAACATCACCACAGGAGAGATGAAGGAGTTTCAAATCAGTGCAGATACTTACAGGTTAGCACTTGCATCACATCCCCCTTACAAGTGATGTTCTGCCTTGTAAAGTGGATACAAGCTGAAAAGTAGAGGACAGATTTTTCTGCGTAGCAACACTGCTAGAGCTAATATCTAGAGCTAATAACCAATTTAAATACAAATCTATTCAGTATTACCCTAGGTTATTATGTCAGAAATTTTGATTGACTCCCTTTGAAGTTATTTTTGTAAACTTTTAGCTGTAATTAGCACTTAGTTACTGAGCAAGCAGCTAGATTTGCAAAGAAGCTGAATCCCTTGCGCACTGATATCTGCTAAGTTCATTCAGGTGGATTTGAAGAGCATAACAACGGACGCAGTGTGAGATTTGAAGGCTTCCTCAACAAAATATAATTACATTGTAGTATGTCCGACTAAAATACCGACAATATTTTTTCCCCTTTTTTTCATTACATCCTTCCCCATCAGGGCATATGTCTGCTCTTTTGGTTTTGAAAATTTGTTTGTTGATATTATCTATGGAAACAAAATTTCTCCTGAGCGTAAAGATGTAATTTTTGCATTTGTCCAACTCTTTAAAAAGGATTTTGATCCACAGTTTAGCATATTAAGACAAATGATATTTCTTAGTGCCCTTTTTGTGGCAAACGTTGTTGTGGTGTTTTTTTCTGACATGATATTAAAGGAAAGCAGACAAATGGCTTGTTTTATCACCAAGATGATACTGAAAAATAAGTTTCTGTTGTCTGAGCTCTGTTAGTTTGTCTTGAAAAAGCACTGTCATGGGAATTTAGCAAATTGGACTGTGGCTGTTTATTTCCTTGCAAGCAAAGACAAATGCAAATACTATATTTCTGTTATTTAAAGTTGTAGGATAATGATCTTTAAAATTTCCATATTCTTGGCAACTGAGTGAATTTAGATACATTTTATATTTCTACCTGTCAAATTATATTTATAATTGTGTATGTCATATATATAGAAGAAAATGAAAGTTTCCCATGGTAGACAGCTTGCTTCTGTTTGACACCGAATACTTCCTTCACTATAATTTTAAGCCCAGAAATATCAGCCTGGTAAACTTTATTTGGTGTTTGTGAACTTGATGTTATTTTTGAAAAAGCCACAGGGAGTTTTTTTGTGAAATTGATTGAATTGAACTTGATGTCCAATTCACAGATTTGTGAACTTCATGTTATTTTTGAAAAAGCAACAGGGAGAGTTTTTTATTTGAACTGAAGAACTTTGATGCTATTTATAAAATAAATTTCTTAGAGAGAGGAAAAATAAAAAGTGCAAAAAGGAAATACATTTCATGGATATGTTAAGGAAAGTGGACAGTTTGGAGTTAATACCATCAGATGTCTGTGAAACTGGCTATTGCTACTGTGTGAATGTACCTACTCATACAGTTTACTCAGTGCTATGCAGAGAGATCTTTTTGGGAGCGATTTGTCTTTATTTTCATCTAGATTTTGTTTTCTGAGTATTAGAATACCCAGATCTTATAACAGGTAGTCTTCTAACAGAGTGCAGACTTGAAACACAAATTCAGTAGATGTTGGGTAGAAGATGTATGGAACTACTGTTTTTTGTACTCCCTCATGCTGTTTGAGTGTTTATCTGCCTGAGCTTTCTGAGAGTGTCAGGCACTAATACAGGCTGGAGGGTATTTTTGTCATGTATTGGGTTAAATGAGTATAGATCACACAAGGAATTGATGTCGGGTTGCTTATTCCTGGTAAATTCGCACTCAAAAGCTGCAAAGGCAATGCCACTGACTTTTCCGAATACCTGGTGAGCAGGTTGTTAATCCTTACTTAATAAGAACTTGCAAGAGCTTGTGCGGTTATTATTTCATCTGTGACTTTGCAAAGCACAGGTTTAGAAAAGCCATCATAGAGTGACCTTTGCCTCCCAGATCTCATTTCCCATCTTCACTTTCTATGGTAAAATTGCCATATAAAATTTCATAAGGATATTTGTTCTGCCTTGGTCTTGCAGACAAGGCAGTGCAGGCAGATGATGGAGTAGATGGGGAATATTTATTGCAACAGATTCCTGGAAGTTTTGAAGGATGCAAAAAGAGCAAGTAAAGTGGGAGCGGTTATTTTTCATTGAGAAAGGAAACTTCTTGGGCCACATCTCCCTTTAGTATTGTCAAGACAAATGTTTGCTGTTTTGCTTTGTCATATTATCTTCCAAGAGTATCCCCTATGATGGCTGCTGACACACTCTCCAGGAGGAACTCAAACTTCTTGCCTAGGATTTTTATGCAGGTGTCTTGCCTTCCTGGTGTTGAGGATGGCTCTGGCCCCAGGAATGTAGCATGTTTTGCCCCTGTTGTAGATGTTGTGTGACTTGACTGCATTGCTTCACTCTCCTTTGGAGATGAAGTAGTCATACAAACTGACTTTTTTTTGTTCAATGCTTGTAAAATGTCCATTTTTATTTCTGGAGTGTTATTTGATGTGAGGATAAAGGTATTTTCCAAAGCAATTTGCAAGTAAAATAATGTTGACTAGTAGTTTTTAAATGTTGTACTTGCAATCCAAAGAAGAAAATGACACCTTCTATAGCAAGTACTTCAGCACTACTGAAAATCCAATTAACCTTATAAAAGGAAGAGCACACTGCTATTTGTAGGGAGGATGAAGAATGTAGGACAGAACTAGGCTGAGAAAGGAAAGGATAATATTTACTTGCAGCCATGGTAATGATCACTGGGACACTTGTTTCACAAGCTCTATGATAAACACAATCTCTGTGAATAAATGGTTTATATTCTGCTAGCAGCTCTTTTCTCCCTGAAACTGCACTGAGTCTACCACCTGAGGCAGTGTTAGGATATTACAATGCCAGAGAAGCTGATTTTCAGGCAAAATTTGAAGTCTAGGTTCTCACAATGTATTTCAGAATTTTGGTGGCAATACCATTAGCATGACATCATGTCTGTGTCTTTAATTCCTTGAGAGTTTCAGCTGGCTACCTTCAACTGGCAGGACCCAAGGGAATGGCATCAAGCTGTGTCAGGGAAGGTTTAAGTTGGATATTGGATATTAGGAAAGGTTCTTCACCCAGTGGGTATCTGAGCACTGGAACATGGTCCCCATGGAAGCGGTCACAGCACCAAGCCTGAGAGTCCAAGAAGCATTTGGACAATGCTCTCAGGCACATGGTGTGACTGTTGGGGCTGTCTTGTGCAGGGCCAGGAGTTGGACTTCGACAATTCTTGTGGGTCCTTTCCAGCTAAGCATATTGTATGATTCTTTTCATGTTCACCTAATTTTGCCGGAATAGTTGATCTTCCTCTTCTGCAGAGGAACCTCTTGATGGTGAACATCCTTTCACAGTAGTCTGAGATGCTCAGAGAGCACAGTAGGTTAAGGGCATTATTTTCCCCTATACTGGCTGTTAAGCACACGGAGTTGATTTTTAGAGTGTACCTTTTTCACATATGCACATATATGTGCATGTATACATACATATAAGCATACAGGTTTTTAATAGGAAGGACCTTTCCCCACCTCTAAATCCCAAACCTGGCCTGTGAAATGAATATAGTTGAAATATTTTATTAGACTATTTATTGAGATCCACATGTACAAAGCCTGGAAGAAATGCAGACTTCGAGAAGCTCTTAAAGTGTACTGAGTAAGATGGAAATGAACATGTTGAATCGTGTTGTGTTTTGGTACTTTTGTATAGGTTATGCAGAATTCTACAGTCCACATCTTGTTGGAGGATAGGGGGATTCCCATTACACTGCTAACACATAAAAGAATTCCCAGAGTAATCCCACAGGCTGCTGCTTTCCTGCTGCACCTTGGGATCTGCTCAGAGAACCAACAGCACCCCAAACCATCAATTTCCCCAAGCAGTTCAAGGCACAGGAAAACTACCTTGGACGTGTATGTTGCAATAAATAATTTTTGAGAGATGGATTACTTGAAACTTGGCTATCTGTACTCATCCAAACATATAAATGTGATGGCAGCTGTGAAAATAACTGGAGTTCCCCAGAGGCAAAGCAGTGCAATGTCTGGGCTGCAGCAGGTGGAGTGAGGAGTCCGTGTTCATAGGTAACTTGTCAGTGGAATTTGGTGGAATTTGCCAAAAGAGAGGCTACAGATGACTGGGACAGAGAAGAAAGAGAGAAGCCACACCTAACTAAGCAGGACAGGTAAGCCACCAAAAATGCGTATTTCTTACCTGTGGTCTTTTGTACAAACATAAATTTTAATCCATGACATCAGAACACTGATGTAAAAATGAAATCTTGGGTGGTCATTTATGGTTCAAGTAGCGGCTTATATATTTATTATAATTATACACAACCTTGACAATCTATATTGCCATTCAAAAATAAATTGAAGTATTGTCAATTTGCACATGATCTACTAATAATCCCATTTACATACATAGTAAACATTTTGCATACCTTAACACCGCTTTAAATTCTGACACCTCCATCTCCTCCCCCTTCAACCTGTGGAGATATGTTTATAGACTTTGTAAACAAACTTTTCCAACTAAGCAACATTCAGAGAGTACCACCTTTTAAAATCAACTTAAATAAACCATTTCAACACTTTGTAAAGGTGGCTGGTGGGTATAGCTCTTAACTACATTTTTGTTTAAAATGATTCTTCATCGATTTCAATGCAATGATTCCTGGTTTTCACTGCTTGAAATTATTTCCTTTCGACCAGGAAAGAAGGAAAACACAGTTTAGCATCTGTATTAGGGAAATCACATTGAGCACATTCCTGGTTTAGTATTCTGCAGTGCTAATAGTCACATTTTGTTGTTTTCACTGTTATTTACATGTGTAGGAAGTGGTTGAAGTCTTCAAATTTCAGCTCTGGAGAATTAAGAATTCAGCTAAGAGTCAGCCACCACACAGTCTCTAGCTACTGAGAGCTTTTGTTTATACTCCAAATGCTATCTTGGGAGCTGAACTTAAAATTTATGAGGCATTTAACACCTTTTGTTAAGCAACATGTTTTTTACTACCTCTTTTGACAGAGAGGTTATGTCTCCTGGTGCCTGAAAGACTAGAAAACTTACAAGTAACAAAACCCAGAATATTTCTCCATCCACTTATAAACTCAGCTAGTGGCAGTTAATGTAAGCATCCTTAGAACATGCAGACCTTAATACTGATCCACAACTGAAGGTTGGGCATCTGGGCTTCACTTTAGAAGGGCTCACAGAAGTCAGTGTATTGAAGTATTACAGTGTGGTTACACAGCAGTGAAAGTCCTATGGCACTAATCTATGGGAATTGAATTTAGCATCTTTTCCTACAGCAACTGGGTAGGTGCTTTGAACCAGCAAATGCAGCACATTTGCAACACAGCTTCATGTTTTGATGCTTTGACAGAGCTCTGAGAAGTGTAGATGCCAAGGTTTGTTAAGGCTGTAAAGTTTTCACACTGGTGTCGAAAAATACATAGGAAGAAAAGTCTCCTGCCAGCTCCTTGCTTGTTTCCTGAAATTACGCTTCAACATAATCCTTACAGGAAAATTCCCACTTCAAATATAGAATACTGAAGAACAGTGTAACAAGTGTAGCAGAGGTGGGAGTTCAGCACACTGAGATCTTTAAAAATATTACAGAATTTCAAATGTTGAAGATACAAAGGAATCCTACCAACAGAGTGGATGCTTTACATCAACAGCTTCTAATTTTGCATGGAAGAAGCAAAACCTTCATCCCACACACTACAAGGTATACAGTACGCTGCAGTTGCACTCCAGTCACTGCGGTTCCTGTCGCATGCTGCCATACCAGAGACAGGGGCACCTTGTGCTACCACATGATCTTGTGAGGCAAGTGGGTTTTTCACCCAAAGAGTCTTTGAGGATTCTCTCAACTGCCCTCTCCAAGTTTTGCAAGCATGCCCCAAAGGCAGTATTTAAACACTGGAAGAAGGGCACTGCCAGGAGCAAGCAAGGGAGAGGAGTCTTTATTCAAATGCAGACACATTCAAATTCAGACCAAACAAGGCAGGCAGCTCCTAGTGGGGTATTTTGTCATGGAGCAGCAGCTTAAAGAAAGAACTGTATAAAAGTTTAACTTAAATGTATAGTTAAAAATCTGTTTCTTACATCTGCATGAATCTTGAAGCAACTCCTGAAATTCTGAAGTACTATAATAAAAAACATGGAAAGGAACCCATGAATCAGTTGCACAATAGCTAGCAGCAACTTAGTTTAGTAAAGAAAATTAACACAAATTATTTTAAAGCCATTTCTTGAATAAGTCCATTAAAGGTCCATACAGGAGAGAATCAGTCCTCTTGAAAGAAAGATCTTATTAGTAAAATGAAACAAAGTATTGCTGCTGGTTTGTAACTATGTGATTACTGTAATTTAAAAAAAAACCAACAAACTCTACTGCCTTTACAAAGATAGTGTCACTTCATTTTTTTTTTGTTTTTGTGGGATGTTTCAAAATGAAAACATTTTCAAATGTTTAAGGGAACATTTTCAAACATTCAAGATGCATCTTGCCCTCAGCAGAAAGTTTCAAATAAGACATTATTGACAAGTACTTGCTTTTAAAATATCCCAGATGCAGAGTAGCACACTACTGTTGGTTTTCTAACAAATTTTATGTTGCAAAGATAGTCATTCTGGTGCTGTCAGAGTAGCCACAGGGTAACTCACTTTTTGAGTCTGACACACAAAGCCTCACATTCAAGTTGTGCATAGCTTATGTAAGTACTTAATCTTAGATCTGCCTTGGTAAAATCTCCTCTTTGTAACAGAAAACAGATTACATATTAACAAATCATATTTTAATGTGAAGCTCACCGTGGAAAGAACAACTCTGCCCTTCTCAAAGGGATTCCTAACATGTACCTCAGCAACCAGTTGTTGTTCGCAGTCTGTGGGCAGCATTCCTCTTCACCAAGGATCTAGAGACAGACCAGATGCACAGCAAAAAAACCCTATCCTAGTAAGAAAACTTTACAATTGTTTGTCTGAACCATATCTGCTTTTAAGCGTGCTGTTCTAGACCTTATCCTAAGAATTGCTTCAAACATTTCTAATGTAGTATTAAGCTTCTGATGACCATGAGCAGAAGATACTCTATTCTTGCACAGATTTCTGCTGTGTGAGCTCTTCTGCCAGGCATCAGGAAGTCTACTAGACAAATTAATGTGTAGATGGATTTTAAGCCAATACTTAAGAATGCTACTCATTACACTGCTGTGGTAAAAGTCAAAAAGATATTAATGATGTTAAAAGCCTACAGGACCAAAGCTAGCTCAGTCATTACTGACTTAAACTTAGGACAACTGATGCTGAAGTACAGTCACCCCCTCAGTGCCAGAGGTGTGACTTGAGTGGCAGAATTCAAGACTGAGGTTGCGGAGTGGCTGCAGAGCAGCTCTTCAAGGTCACTGTTTTTGCTCAAGGACTTTACATATGTAAACTTACGGTGTCAGCTCATCCACACTTGAGTGCATGGAGGAGCAACAGTCAGTAGAGCAAAGCACGTTCATTTCAGTCACTTGATGTCAGTCATGAAGATGCAATTCTAGAACCTGAACTAGTCTGGCAGGTTTATGTACAGCTGTAAATGGTGCTTCCTTTTTCTGTGAAGATATGTGAGAGTTTAATTTACTTCTACTACTGGTCATGGATTACTTTTTGTAGTATGAACAGTGATGGAAGATGAAGGACATGGCTGGAGATAAAACGGCTGCCAAAGCCAGAAACAAGATCATGATTCTTCACTTGTTTACAACAGCAACACCTCACACAGGAGAACTGCTGCAGGAGTGCCTAATTAACACCTGAACACACCTAAATTTGTTTCTGCAACACAGTTCAAGTCACCGAAGCATTACACTGCAACTAATCCCAGTTTCTTATGCTGGCTGGAATCAGAAACCACTTTTCATAGTTAAAGTAGCCCATTCCCATTCTGGTAATAGAGAAGCTGTTTGAAGTCAACAGTGACTGGCTCTAGCAAGTGCTACAGTACCTTGGTGACCGACAGACGCATTTGGAATATAGGAACATACACTGGACTCTGACAGTGTTTAAAATGTATCAAAGAAAATAGCAATACATTGTAGACACTTTCATTAGATAACTAAATGACCAAAAATAAGTGGTAAGCTATGCAAGTTCATCAAGTAGATTCCTTCTTTGCAGTAGTAATATCCAGTTTTTGTTTTGGTCCTAGACCAAAAGCTTTACATGCTGAATACCAAGGCTTAAATAAGTTCTCAGCATTTCTTTCAAGACTGCACTAAACAGCATTTAAGCAACCTCAAAATCAGGGTGCTGATATCCAGCTTGTGCAGCACCATTTCTGTTGTTTCTCCTTCCCAGCATGAGACACGATGTAAATTTAATTCAAAACAAAAGAAGTGGAAATAGTAACAAGTGCAATAAGACATTTTCAAGGGAAAGCTACACAACAGGCCTTGTGAATTCTAACCTTTCATCCTATTATCATTAGCATCATCCTATCATAAGCACAGTACGTTATGTACAGCGGTGTGCACCAAGACCATGAATTTCAGCACATGGCAGAGCCACTATACTGGAGCTGTTTGTAACTAAGATTGTTAGTGGTACGGGAACCTAAAAAAAGAAACACATTTAAGCTTGTATTATTCAGTTTATATGAAAAAGACCATACAATTCCCATGGTACATCAACAAGATCGACTGGTATGCCAACTAACCTCTATTTTAATATTTAAATTATAACAATACAATAACTAGAAAAGGTCAGTGCTTCAAGTGACAGCTTTTGCCACTTCAATTCCAATATTTTTCCAAAATAATGATGCGATTAGATCTACACTTGAGCATCAGTAGTGCAATACAGTATCCTTTCCTGAATAAAGGAGCTGAGGTTTATTCACAATAAAAGCTTTAAATAAGGTAGATTGTTGCCATTTATATATCAATTCTGTATGTTTGATATAAAATATATCAGGAAAGCTTAAACTGACTTATACAATCTACATTTGGCTAAAGCTCCACATAAGCAGCATCAGTGGAAATGAACATCAGAGGTGTACTTAATATAAAACACTTTCAAAACTACTCATCAACAAATGACAGAAGTTTGGCTAAGAATAACTGAACATCTGAGGTGTGTACCAGACAAAAAGAATGGACCCTGTGGTTACTTGCACTATTTTAATTAAGTAAAAGAAATGCAAAATTTAGTCCACTTCCATTTCTCCAGAGGGTTTGGTCTGCTGAGGGTTGTCCTTTGCTGGTTCAGGTTTTGTTTCAGTACCACTCTGTCCGTTCACTGGTCCGTTGTGTTCACCATTAGCTTTTGACTGCCCATCACTGGGAGGTTCTATCTTCGGTTTGGGCTTGTATATAATGGGATTACAGAAGCTATCCAATTCCTAATTGTGACAGAATTGAGACAGCAAGGTCATTTGGTGCCACAGCAACTGTACTATACTAGAATGTCTCTCATTCGTTTCTGGTCCATAACAGCCTGGAATTTAATTTTCAAGGATTAGACTTCTCAACTCTATTAAATTTAGAAACTTAAAATAAAGCCTTTCACTACCTAAAGAACTTCTGATCTGTTACAAACCTATATGGCAATCCATTCTGCAAAAAGTCTGGTGCTGTAACTTGGTATTTAAAAAAGCTTATGCAGAGGTATGCTGTAATTCAAGAGCCAGCACTGAAGATTGCTGAAAGTGCTGGTCCCTCTGTATAAATCTTTTAATAGCTTTAAAATATCTGTAGATGTAATATTCTACCTCAAATCTCGGCCAAAATCTGGTTCAAGACAAACTTATTAGAATGCAACAATGATCTTTATGATTTTTTTTTTACCTTAGATTTTGCCAGTATTTCTGCCACTTTCACAACTGGATCCTGAGTCAGACTTAGTTTATTCTGGGCATTCATTTTGCTGTTCAACCAATTCATAGCCTCATTGATGTATTTTTCAACTTTTTCCATCTCAGCAGGATCTAGGTGATCATATTTTTCATCCTAATGAGAGAGATATTTGTATCACCAATTAATATATGCTGCTCACCCAATTAAATTAGCCTTAGAAGCTACAGAAACACTTGTAACAGCCATAACTTGAGAGATCCATTCCAAGCAGTCCAAGTGACCATGAAAAATGTAATGATCTTTGATTTATGTTCTCATGAAGAAGCTGTTTCTGCTAGCAATGCAAAACAGTTTTCAAGTTCTCAGGAGTCAAAGTACAACAGCCCTTCTAAAGCAGTTTAAGAGTTAATTCTATAGGATTTCTTTTTAAACACAAAAAGCTCTACAGCCAAACTCAAAACACTTATAATCCTTAAATCACTAAATAATTTATTTCTACCTTATTTTTGTATGCTTCTACTGCTTTCATAAGGAGCTGAATCTTCTTTCCCAGTTCATTTAGAACTTTTGGTCTCTCTTCATGTTCCATGCATCTTTCCTGAATAGGCTGTCCAAATTTCTGGAATAGTAAGCACAAAGATCTTTACAAAATACATATTTCCTTTAGTCTGGTCTAAGAATAAAATGAGGCATGGGAAGGAAGGCTGCCTTTAAGTGCTTTTCTCACCCATTCAAGAGCTAAATCTTTGCATGTTTCTTTAGTGCATCATCAACAAAAAAATCCCAGAAGTTTAAACAAAGGAGTAGTACCTATCCTTACCAAGCTTGGTATTTTGCAGTTTTCTGCAAAAAGAGCTTTTGGAACATAAACAAATCAAGATTTAATGGATGCTTTAATTTTCAAGCAATTAATCTGAAAACTTCTAGTTTTATCCACTGTCTGTTTTTTCCTTCTCTTGAATACTGGTATCCAGGCAGTTGCCTGTATCTGCACTGCTGTTTCCATCAGTTATCCCTCCCACAAAGGAAATCTGACTTGAGAAAAAACAGTTGGAGCTCTAGGGCTAGAGATATACTTCAACTTACTCCAAAGTAGCTAGTCATTCATTGGAATTCACATTTTCCCCATGAGATTATTAAAATCTAAAGTATTTAAGTTTTTTTTTTGTCATTGATCAAATGATACAGTGGAAGCTACTGTTAAAGCACTCTCAGCTTTTATCGTTAAGACATTAGACTCAAAAATTGAGTTTTATGATACAGCCATAGAAGACCACTTAGAACAGGACAATCAGAGCATACAGTCTGGAGTGTAATTCTGATTACCCAGGAAGGCAGTCAAACTATTCAAAAACCTCCTTCAGATTGTAACAAGACTGACAGAAAATTCCCATAGCAATTAAATCTGTTGTCACTAGTGACAGCGTGCTTCATTTCAACCATTTTCAAATTAGGAGCACAACTCTCATTAAAACAAACCGTAGTTTTAGTTCTAAGTATTATGTTCGCTTCATAAATAACTTATATATAAACAACCTGAACACCCACCCATAAATAAACATGCATGACTTTTCTAGAAAGCAACTTATAACCTTACTTTTAGTTCCTGAAGCTTATCCATGTATACTTGTTTTGGCTGGTCCTCTCCATCTTCATAAAGCCAATTTTCGGTGTCCTCCAACATCAAGGTCAGCTTGTTTGAATCCTACAACGCAAGTTAGGGACACTCCAGTTCAGAAGGGAACACATCAAATGAGACTTTTCTCCCACCTGAACACACCTTCTCAAAAAAGACTGTTTCATCAGCTTGAAACATTCAAAGTGATAGTGAAGGAAAACAGTAATTAACAGACTTCAAAGTCAAGATTTTACAGAGTGATAAGAGAGGAAGGACAGCCCTACTCATCTGATTTGCAGGTGAAGTTTATTGGAGTTATAAAATCAGTCCCAAAGACAGCCCATGCACTTCTTAATATTATTCCATATTATCTGTTCTTTTTTTTTTTTATTCCTACCCACTGACACCATTTAGAAGTTTGTGGCCTGCTTTACTATGCTGACTAAATCCTTTGATTGTTGTTACCATCTCTTCAGCACATTCCATGCTCACAAACAAGGTTGCTAACTTACTACTTTGGAGTGCTGCTTTCTAGGCCTACTCTCCTACTAAGCCTTAGCCATTCTACTACTAAATTCGAATTATTCTGCAACAATAGGATTTTTATTTTCTGCCTGCATCCCAAATCTTTCTTTGCCACTGAGGAACTTCTCAGACAATAAAGAACTCTGCTTGCTTGCAGGTCAAATGTTAGGTCCAAGTGTAATTTGAACTTCACTTTTGTGAAGTTGAGCCATCTCTTACTCCAAAACTAGTCCAAGAGACTAGTGGAGCCTTCCCAGAACCCACGCTCAAAACTTATTAGTACAAAGGAACTTTTTCCAACAGTTGAAACATATAAGCAAGTCTTACTTCTTCAGTGATAAATTTCTCAAAGACTCCACACAGCTTGTCTCTGAATTCATACACATACTCTTCAACAGCATTCTTAGCATCATTTCTTTCTTTCTCAAGCTTGTCTTGCATCATCATCTTCCCCTAGGGTGGAGAAAAGCTTATTTAAAACTAAAAGCATTTTAAATGTCAAGCTCAGTGACTACTCTCTTGAAAGTGTACCACAGAACTTGGCAGAAGCCTGCTAATTTCCAATTACTGATAAAAATGTTCACCTCTGTGTAAGTCATCTGCACTGCAAGCACAACCAGAACAGCGTAAGCTAAGTCTAATGAAACTCAGTAATTTCACCAAAACCCCAACAAAAACAAACCCCCTTACAATTCTAAATTGGGTAAGTTGATGGTTGCCAATTATTTTAGATAATTATTCACAGCGACATTGAGCAGTCATCTGTTTATGCTGCTTACCTCATTTTCTATATAGGAATTGATTAGATCTTGTCCCAGTTGCCTATAGAGGCTTGCCTGTATAGGGAGGTCAATACTCTTAACTTTTGTTTTAGCCTTTGGCTGGGATAGATGATCTTGCTTTTCTCCAGAAGAAGCCTATAAAGAGTGACACTACTAAGAAACTTCCAGGAATGGAAATATTACTACATTTATGCTCAAAAAAGAGAGACAAATAAAACTAGTTAAGACAGCTACAAATTAATTTTATATAGATTTAGCACCTAATTATTCCTCTGTATTCAAAATCACCATTACCTCAGTTTTGAACCAAACTGGTGAAATTTAATTTCTTTAAACATAAAGAGCTGTAAGAAAACTTGTTCAGAAGCTATTATTCTTTACAGTATTTCATAAGCTTCCCTAAATTACATATTCACTATAAAATTAGGTTGAACAACAGAAACCTACTTCAAATTCTTAACCATACTGTGTTGAAAATTAACGTGCTATGGTAGGATTCCTAACCTACATATATTCATTTATTGAAATGGTTATGTAAATATGCATTTCTTTAAATACAGTCCTACATTCTGCAATTAGTAAAATCAGTGAGTGTGAGAATACTGGGCAAAAAAACGTCTTATCAGTACTGAATACGAACTTTTGTTTCGGTTCCAGCATTTTCAGTTTCCTCATCTGCTTGGTTCTGTTGTTCAGCTTGACTTTTTTGCACACCTTCTTCTTGATCAACCTGCATTTTATCCTAGAGAGAGTGTTACATAACTGAATGCAATGGTTTGCTGTAAGATTTAAGACTGATGTCAGTTACAGTAGATCACGCGCAATATATAACCTTCAGAATCAATCCTAAAAATTTTTGATTCACCATGTTTGAACAGGTGTTTTGATATATTACTTGTATTTCTATCTTTCAAATTAAATGAACTCAGCCTTTTGATGTTGCCGTCTGTCCCCATAACATAACTACACTAAACCTACACTAAAGTGAATACTCCCTTCACTTTAAATTAGAAATGCATACATATAAAATGCAAGCAAAGAACATTCTAGAAACACACCACCAACACAGGCAATAACAATGGGTTCTCTATGGAACAGTCAGAACTCTGACCTTGTATAATTTTTGACCTAAACTTTGTAATTATTACCTGCATCTGTCTCAAGGACAGCGAGACTAATAAAAATTAATTTCTGTAGTAGTAGCCTCTTGGAGTAACATGACCAACTGTCTTCCCTCTTTGCCACCCAAAATAAAGCAAGCTTCAATTAAATTTATCTGTAAATTTATCCTAAATTTATCACTTATGCTTTATTCTAAATTTAACAATCTGAAAAAGACACCACTAATTACTAGTGCTGATCACTTGGTTTAAGTAATACAACCCCCTGTCATCACTGAAAAACACTTTCAAGAGAAGTTTTCAGGATGACTCTAATATTTGGACATCCAGCGCACTGATAACTAAGGAGCTGTAGATGAAGTCTGAAAGATCCAAGACTGCTTCTACTAAAAGGAATTCAGATTTCTGGATTCATAAACTACATATTTATGAAAAATCATTTACTGTTAGTTCTCCAAAATACAAAAAAAGTCACTTAAGAATTTCAAACTCTACCACAGAGGCATATGTTGCAGTTTAGAGTGGAAAACAAGGTTACTTTTACCAAATTTAAGTTTTGTCACTTCAGAGTAGGGAAAAAAAAAATTGAAATGCTAAATTTACTGTTCTTACTGTTCACACAGAAAAGCCAACAACATGAGGAACTGTTTTACCTACAGGAAATAGCTATAGAGGGGAAATAATACACATATACACCACAAACCTCCTCCTCAGAGTCAAGGGGATCATCCTCAATACTGAAAGGTAATTGCTGACAAGCACCATTGTGAAACAGAAGATATGTTAGACAAATGGAGTACTACAGCTGGAAAGCCTGAGGACGGAAGCAGTTACTCGTGTACTGAACACCCAGTGAACTCCATGAGCAGTATGCCTCAGACTAAATGCCAGCTCTATCACTTCCAATCCTTTTCCACTTGATTACAAACATCAGATACGGAACACTTGCCCACAAGGAACTGCATCATATTTAGTATTTCAAATATGCTCACATTCCTGGAAAGCAGTGTAGTATTTAAGAAGTTGCTTATATAGATTATGTAATGCTAGTTGTGTAACCAGTTGCTCTAATTCCTGTAGTATATTGAACTAAAGTAGGAAAAGCTGCTAAGAACAAATCTTAAATGAAAGGCTGCCAAGGCCACCATATATAAATTTTACTCATTGAAAAAATACTGTGTGAGGAACAACAAACCCTAAGATTAATTTTTCAACAGATCTCATTAAATATGCTGCCATTTGCTAGCAACACCAGATAATGCTAAATGCTGGTGAGATGGTGAAGCACAATAACAAAAAATATCACTTTATTCTTTAGAATCTGGTTTTACATTCTTCTTTCTTTCTTAGTGCCACACTTCACCAGTACTTCAATAATAAACATGAAGAAATGTGTTACATAACTGAAGAAGTAATTTAAGGGTGGAGAAGCAGTAACTGTCAAAAGCTAAACACTGATTTAATCTGCAATTATTGGCTCTCTTATCAGAATTACAGTGTAGATATTTCCAAGTTTACATACCAGCTCTTCATCTCTGCCTTGGTTCTTACTTGATGATTCAGTGTCCATGGGTGTGTCGTTGTGATCCCCCTCTATGTTCTGCTTCTCTATTATGGAAGCATTAGCCACGCTGAAAAGGCCATGGATATTGACACGCACTTTCACCTTCACTTTTGAACTGTCGCCATCAGGTTGGGGACCAACATTCTGAATAGTGAAACGCCCTTGAAAACAACAAAGACAGCTTTAACTGTTGTGTCAAAAAAGTAGTGAAAGAGTGTTAATTTAAACAGCACCTTCATGTAACTTGAACTACTTGGAAACTTTCTACTTAGTTGTCAATCCTACAATGTAAGCTGGAGGTAGATAAACTAAAGCCTGGTTCCCCAATTATTATCAGTTCACTGATAATTAGTAAGATGTTTTTGCTTTATCTGTATTTCATAAAAAAGCAAGATACCACTTTACTAGGTATTCTACTTCTCTGTTGCCTTCTGTAACCATCACACTAGAGAAATTACTCAATGATCTCAAATGGTTTCTTTTGTCCACATAACTCAAACTTCACACTGCAAAATAAAATGTTAACAGAGATTCTGAATGATGAATTTGATAACATGGCTGCACTACACTTCCTGGAGAATGAACAGTTCTTATCAAGGCTTCTGGAAGTAATGAGGTGGATACATTTTGCAATTTGCTGGAAATTTGACTGTAGATGATGCAGACTGTGCACACATAAAGAATAACGTTTCTTCCTGAAGACCACAGACTTCTTGCATAGACAGCTAAATAAACAGTACAAAGTTTATATCTGATTAATAAATCAGGAAATAAAATCCTGAATTAAAGACCCTGAGGAGTGTATTAATACTGCAAGTAAGGCAGCATTAGCTACCAAGAAACTTATTCATACCATCTAATTCTTTAGACTCTACTATAGATGCTTAAATTGAGGAAATGCCTATCTTTTATGTTCTCAGATTAAGAGAAAGAGACATGACAGATAGCACTAGATGTTACCTGTCCAGACAGGTAACAGCTCCTTCGATCCAATTTCTTTGAAAAATCCAGGCTAGCTGGCACATAATGTCTTTATCAATTTTATAGAAATTGAAAGAACCAGACAATCGAGCACTAAAAACTCCTTGTACCTACTTGTTTTAAAGCATTCAGAAACTAAAGATAAAATGAAGCAGAAATTTTTTAAGGAACTGTCCAACAAAGATGTCAATACTGTTTGATCACTACATTTAAACCAAAAACACTGTGCTGAGCCTTTCTAAAGAACCAAAGCTTTACTATAAACTAGGAAATATGGAAGTGACCTATCTTAGAAGAAAGGAGAACCATTCTTCCCAATATCAACAGGAGCTGGGTAAGGAGTTTCTATTCACATTTCCTTACCTATTCTGGAATCAGGATAAGGCACTTCATGCGGATGAGTATAATAAGCTTCCAGGTCAAAAGGCTCTTTCTTGTGAAAAGTAATTACTTTTGAGAATGGAGCAGCATGGTTCTTACTGAAGACTTCACACTCCCTAAAGCAGTAAAACATTAACTGACGTTAAACCTCTGAGCATAATTTAATGGATAATGAAAATCCAGGTATGTTAATGATCAGCAGCCATGCAAACAGCTGAGTAATTTAAGTCATTTTATGACAACATTTGGAGGTTGAAAGCCTCTTGGTCTCAAAGCTGGACTCTGCATTCAAGATGACACTTATTAAAAACTAAGCAACTTCACTGCAACATTTCTTAATTAAATGTATTTCCAATTATTAAGCAGTAACTGGAAAGCAAAAAGGTACAGTGCAAAAAAAAAAATCTAAAACAGTTCAAGTGGATGAGAGCTTCAAAGCCAGAGGCCTGTTTTTTTTCCCCACAGCTCAACATTTTTCTTGATGTACAAACATACACTTTTCAGTCGGCACTGTACCAACTTACCCTGTTCCTTCTTCATAAGATGATTTCCATCTCAATGTTACAGAGTAAGGAACAACATCTGTGATGGAAAACTCACGCACTTTAAAAGCTGGGGAAAGAATTGCACACTAGAAAAAAAAAAAAAGACCAAAATTTTATTATATCCATATAGTCAAATAAATAACAAGTACAAGAATTAATACTTAAGTGCTAAAAGGCTACAAATCAAATTGATCATATGGAGGTCCTACTTATCATTGAATTTTTTTTAACAGAACCTTCTCATAGTTAATTGAACTGAAAGACTTAACTAAAGTAATAGGTGCTACTTCCCCAGTGATTTTCAGTGAAGATACCCAGCAAAGCTTTCGAACGACTACACGGAAGTGGAACAGCAGAATCTCGGTCATCAAACTTAACAGGTCTCTAACAAGACCATCCTTTTAACATGACACAGCAGCAAATTAATGAATGTAACAGAATAATTTCTGACAAACTGCTGAAAGAAGTAAGACTCTGTATCTTATTTCAGCTGTAGCACCTTTTGCTTGTGGTTAGTTTTATTTCATTAGTACATGATGTTAAAGTAGCAATACCGAAGTTTTATTTCAATAACTATACCTGCAAGGCACAGCCTCTTGCAACAGCTTCATCAGCATTTAGTGTGGTGCTTATCTCTTTACAGAAAAAGTTAGAGATCTGTTCCTTCACTGCTGGAATTCTAGTAGCCCCACCTACTATTTCTATACTGTAGATATCTTCACGCTGAAGTTCTAGAAAAGAGAGTGCATGGCTTTAAATTATCATCAAGATTTCAAAAAGCTGTCTTTGGACAACTAAAAAAAAAAAGAAGAAAAGGTAAGAGTCCTCTTATTATCCAACACTGTGACAAGCACTGAACGCATTTAACAACTGGCAAGATCTTTGTAACTGTCCCTCCTGCAGGCTACAAAGGTTTCTAGTTGCATAAACCTGGGAAATGCAGAAGCCAAGCATCAATGAGAACAGCATGTGCATCCCCTTTCTGGTGTGCATAGACCCAAAAGTGTAAAATTGGGTCTTCTTTAGGAGCCCTGTCCTACTGGACAATACCTCACCTCTCCTGAACAACAAAATGAAACCCAAATATACCTCATCTTATGGCTGGCTCAATTTTGGTTGCCAAAAAATGTAAAGCAAAACCTTTAGCTAAATATATGTAAAAAATAGTAGACTGTGTTTGCAGGTTATCTTGAATTCAGAATTAAGAAGTTATGTGTATAAATAATCTCAAACTATCGGTCCTTGAACAGCTCTGCTCAGATGTTACTCAGGTTGTTAATTTCTGTATTAGCTATCTAGCCAAGTCACAAGAGAAGCAGAATTCTTCCCTTTCTTTTAGATGAAGATGTTGGAATTAGGGGTAAAACCTTTTCCCGTTAAAGTCTAATTCTCTCCTTTACACTACATTAGGCAAAAAAGAAATTAATTTGTTATTTGCACATGCTTCTGGTAACTTGTTTTAAGAACATACTGCCAAATTCTCAGGTCAGTGAAGACATGTATGTATCACATGGAACAGGCTGGCCCAAAGGTTGCAGTAAAGAATAATATTTTTTCCCCATCATCATTTTGGCTTGGTTTGGCTTTGTGTTTTTTTAAATCAATTCGGAATGCCAGCCTTTTCCATGACACAGGGTGAATGAGGGTCAATAACCAAGGTTGCAGAGTGGCATGTGCAATAAATGAGGCAGGAATGGGATCATGCAGTCATGACAAGCGTATGAATGGAACTTACATTTAACTTTTCAGTACTTAGCTTTGCAATTCTAATAAATACAAAAATATATTAAAAAGATAATCATTAAGGAGATCGAGGATAACTGGATTACTAGCAGTACCTAAATTAACTCCTACTTACTTGCTTGATCCATGGCTGCTCTTAGAGGAGGCTCCACTCTGGCCAGAAGGGCAGCACACAATTGCTCAAACTGAGCTCTGCAGGACAGGAAGAGTGTTCCACGTTATGAGGCAGCTTAGAGACCACCCTCCCCTGCACCTCAGTGAAAACAGCACACCGCACCTGTTCATCTTACTGGAGACATCAAGGTCATTCATGAAGCACTCAATATTGAGTGGAAGGTCAGAAGCATTTGCACTCATAAGCTTCTTGAGCTTTTCACATTCCTGATACAATCGCAACAGTGCTCGCGGATTCTCTTTTACATTCAGTTTGTATTTTGTCCTAAATTCTTCAGAGAAGTAGTCTACCAAAGCCTCATCAAAATTCCTACCACCTACAAAAGGGTCAAAGGTAGTAGCCAAGACCTGACAGAAGTGAAAGAAAGATGAGAAGTTATTAGACAATGTTTGTTCTGTGTCATTTACTCAACAGAGCAAAATGTGCTATCATCTTCCACATGACTTCAAATGGCATTTTGCTACCAAAGACAAGTTCACAAAAGCATTCAGCCAGTAGCAGCTCATAGACAAAAGTCTCCAAAGCAGGAAGTGAAAACTGTTCAGTTTTACCTTGCATCCTATTGGATTTAAGACTTTCAACTTGGAAAAAAAACCCCGGCATCATGGAGTGACTTGGGCAGTTCAAGAATTTCCCATGAGTAAGTCAGCTGCACAACTACAATGCTTTTGAGACTACCTGATTATGCAGATATATCAGTAATATAACATGGCACAAAAACTGCAGTGTGGTCAATTATCAAGCACTTTTCAAAACATACTTTGGGATAGTTCACTTCTGCATTTTACAAAAACTCACTGAAATAGCAAAAAACAACAGAAGAGTTTTGTATTCCACGTTTTAAAAGTATTTGCTATAGACATTTAAAAAATAATCTTTCCAAAGAGCAGTATTTTGAATATTAAATACTTCAGGCATATGGAATTTTAATGCATGACTTAAAAGATTACCTTCAGTTTTCCCTTGTTAAAAGCACAGATGGAAACCTGATATGCAGAATGTCCCATATCTACAAAGACCACATTTCTTGGCTTCTCTTCCAAGGCTGGCAGATCTTGCTTGTATATTCCATAGGCTAATGCAACTGAAAAACATCAGCCCATGGAAGTTAAGGGCAAGATGTAAAGTGTGAATTAAAAGCACTACCAAAAGACACACACTACCCATTCTTTACCCTTTCTAAACACCTCCATAACTGCTCAAATGTTGAAAAGATGTTGAAAACACATTTTTCATTGACAAGAGATGAAAGAAATGTCAAGTGGAGGTTTAACACTACTGAAGCATCACCCTGTAATTCAGTTCTGCTTGCAGCCAAATTAACATTGTAATTTGTGAAATTGCACAGATTAAGCCTCATGCTTACACCTCTCCCTTGAAATGCTTTACTTTCATTATTTTTTATCTTAGCTTTGCAAAACTCATGCATGCCCAAGAAACAACAACAAAAAAAGTGTTTTAGAAGACTAGTTTACACAAATCTAAGATTTCACTACCCAGCACTCATTTGGAAAGTTGTTTGAGACTTTCTAAGTGCAAAGAAAACTTTGATCAAGAAAAATAAAAGTTATCGATTTAAACAGCTCCATGTTTAGTTCCCATAAAGTGTTAGGTATTTCTGTGCTCTACCCTGACCAGAAGAGGGAAGTTACTTTATAGAACCAGTTGTCCCACTGCTGCAGCTGACAGGATTGCCTCAAGTTTCAACTGTCATTACCCCACAAACTCAGTTGACTTGGATATCTGAAAAGTCATATAGTTCAAGTTGTCTGTAAATACGATCAGCAAATCCACTTTTGGAGAAGTGCATAAAAATGCAATTTGTGTAGAAGCAGCTCTTAAAGCATACACATTAAGTAGTTCAAAATGAAAAATCTTTGGATTATACTTTATAACTTCCCTTCAATGTTTATCATTTCAACTAAGTATTAGCTTATGATAAAAGTATGTCTCTAATACTTCCATGAGTTTTATTTTTACTTCAATATACTCATCTTCTAGAAAGCTGGAAAGAAAATTAGAAGGCCCCACTACACACCTATGTTAAAGAATGTATTTACCATAATGTTTTAGACACATCTGATAATATTGTACTGTACTATTATTTAGTACAGCAATTAAGAATTTAGGTCAGGTGCACACCCCAGCTGGATCATGAAGAGATTCTGAAGGTAGCTCAGGCCTTCCTGATACAGTTCCAGTAGGTTCATGGTACAGTTGAAAGGTAAGCACAGATGCCAGCTTTCTAAAGCTATCCCCCAGTGGCATTGCATTCAAGTTAGCAAACCCCAACTTCCATCACGCCTCCTAAGTGCTGCACACCACCCCACTGCGGTGTTTCCAGTTCCCAAGCTGGATTGGGCAGTACCAGCCCGGACGGCTCTTTCTCAAGCTCCTAATTTTGTAAGAGCAGGATGTCATCACCTTTACATTCAAGAGCCTGAATAGATTTAAAAGGAAAAAAAAAGTTTCTGCCCTTTACCTGCGGTAGTTTCATTCATCAGCTTCAGACAATTTAATCCTGCAATCTGCGCAGCTGCCATTACAGACCTTCTTTCAGCATCAGTGAAGAAACTAGGGACCTGTTTCCAAAAACAACAACACAGGGTATTATGGAATATGGATTTTTTAATTTAAATAAGTCAGACTTGCCCATTAAGCTACCCTATAAATGTCATTGCCACAAGAAACTGTTATGAGCTAGCCACAAATTAATAAGGCAGTCTGAATTAAAGAGGTAGCTAATTCATTTTAGTTCATCTTTTAATTAAGATTTCAAAATTTGACAAAAATGAAGTGGCATCCAAAGTTGTTTTAAATAAAGTCGATTTAAGCACCACAAAAAATCCCCCTAAAAATGCTTTCTCAGATTCTTAAAATCATTACTAGTTACTGAAAACATTTGTGCAGGACAAAGTCAATACAATAAATATTCACACATGGCCCAAAAATAAGTTACAGGCAGAAGCACTGCAGTGATGCCGCAACCTGAACCTGTATTCATTTTTCAAATATCACCTCCAGCACAGTGCCAGCTTACAGGGAGCTACAACATTCAGTGCCATCAAAAATAGCCAAAGCATAATCAGAACCCATTTAGAAACTGGCTGCCATTAGCTGGCACATCTTCAGTGTCAGTCAGAACTACATTCACAGTGTGTTTTGTTGGCTACCACTGTGGTGTATCCCTCTGTGCGTGGGAGGTGCTCTCTAAGTGTCTTTGTATACCAAAAGGAAGCAAGGAAAAACATCAAAGTGGATTTCTAACAGCTAAATTACATGACTTTCCAGTTTCCATGTCTCTGACAGATGCAATGTCTCTCCAATCCCTCATGCCCAGACTTCCCAGCAGAGCCAGTAAACAAAAACCATGTGAAAAGCAGACACAGGAATTCGTATCAGGAACAAAACCTCCTCACGGGGAAGGCCATCAGCTAGAAAAATCATGGGCAAACCAACGGTCATAGGTTGAGACTGGCCCCCCTGAGAGGTTTGAGGGGCTCAGAGGTGATTGGGTGCCAGGGCAGTGTTCCCTGGAGAGCCAGTCACCACTCATGTTGTTCGCTTCTGCTCAAAATCATATATCACAGCACTGGAAGCTGTTGGAAGTTCTGTCTTGGTTGTTTTGCTGTTGGTGTCTGCTGCGTGTAGGTGGACAAGGCCAGGGGGTGGCTGGGCTCCCTCTCTTCCCCTCTGGAGGGGAGAGGGGAGCCCTGCGACCCCCCAGCTCAGCCTTTGGCTAGAATTAGAGTCAGCATTTGGAGTGTGTGCTGTTAAAGAAGAATTTCACAGCACCTGAGGTAAGAGGGAGGAGGCCAGGCCTTCTTTCCTCCCCCTGCAGCTGCGGGACGCTTGGGACAGTGCATAACTGAACCGAGCTGCCTGTGGCCAAGGCTAGGGGGCTTCTTCCCCCCCACTACATTTAGGCTGGTGGGGGGTGGATTTTAAGGCTCAGCATTTGAGCAGAGCCAAGTGGACGGGCTGATAAATCAGCTTGGCGCTTGGGAGAAGAGTCCCAGGAGAAATTGGAGATGAGCCAAGAGCTTGAGGGTTGCCTGCTGAAGCTGACCGGGGGCAGCTGAGAACTGATGTGGAGGAATGAAGATTGCAGGATGTGGACACTTGATAAGCTACACTGCAGCAGCCTACGAACCGAGGTGAGACACCGAGAGGGAGAAATCACACAGCAGCAGAAAAGCAAGGACTCAAAGCTATCTTCTTGGACCACGTGAGGAGAGACTGCAACAAACAACTGCTGGGACCTGGTGAGGAGGGAGCGTTCAGGAGCCCAGAACACTCCCACAGCAGACTGTTACATATCAGCCTTAAAGGCTGCTTCTGGACTAAAGTTAAAGGAGGGGCTTGAAAGGACTGACTGATAGTAATGTAATATTATATATAGTTGCCTTTAGTTTGTATAGTATTTATTTGTGTAAATAAATGTATATACTTCCCCCTTCCCCTATAGAATCCTCTAGCCTGAAAGTTTCTCTCTGGTGTTAGGATAATTGTGTGAAGGGTGGGAGGAGGCCTGGAAATTGGATTTTAGATTTCTAATGTGGCTCAAACGGCCACACCAACCAAATAAAAAGACTTTTTCAAACAAAGCCAAGTAATTTGGGCTTATCAAATTGTTACTATGACCCTCAGAGAGTTTAGGCAACTCTCAACTGCACTACAACAGCACTCAACTAGGTAATAACAAAGAAATTTAACATGAATTTGGGAAGGTTCTTTGGAATCAAGGAGGATATGCTTATGCATAGGACAGCTTCCATTTATAACAGGAACTACAGTAATCAGGAATACTATACGCAGCCCTTGTAGATAGACAGTTTGGATTAGCTTAAGCAATATGTTCTTTCTGAAAACACGCTCTTGATTTAACAAATTTTTCATCTTCTCACATACGATTCCAAAAGCATTCTCATTTGGAAAACCTTTAACAAAGGCCTATTTTTGGAGATACAATTTCTATCCACTACTTGTATCTATTCCCACAGCACCATGGCATAACTGGTCCTAGCTTACGTAAAGCTATCTATAGATTACAATAAATATATTACCACTTACTGAGATTACACAGTCTGCCACTGGCTTCTTCAAAGCACTTTCTGAAGTCTCTTTCAGTTTGGCCAATAACATTCCTGTAATCTGTTCAACTGCAAAAAGTCTCTCTTCATCAAGGTATCTCACCTGAAACAGAGAATTGTGATTCTGTAATCCATCATCTCAACTTTTCTCTGAAGATGTGATGAAGCTTAATACCAGACTTTAGACACAAATAACGCCATATCAATTGATGCTACAGATCTGTGCCACCTACAACAAATCTTAAAACAGTTCAGTTTAGGTGAAAATTGTTTTGTGGGAAACTTAACACCTCAGTTATCTCAAGGGGCTATTCACAACGATACAGTATTTCTGTTGCTCATGTTTGTTTTTTTTAATTTAAAAAACAACAACAACAAAGCACAATACATAACCCTACCATAAGCTGAAAATAAGAGTTTTGGAGCAAACCCAAGGAACATTTGCTTCCTGCAAGGGTCACTTAAGCACATGAGGCAGGGAAGGTGCAAACAAGGCAATTCTAACAGTCCTGCTCTGCTCAGGAAACACATCTGAACCTTCAGCCTTCATGTGTCCTGAATTCCTAAGAGACTACTGTCTCTCTAGCAATCCCAAGCACTCCTGTGCAGGGAAAACCAGAAGGATGTATATTTACACTGGCAATTATTGTGATATGACCAGGTGTACAGAATAAAACCCACTCTGTGGTATGAAGCCCTGTCAAAAATCAACTTAAAGTGCACTGAGGACGATTGGGAAATCTGCTTCAAAAGTGCATTCCTGATCCAAATTAAAATGCTAAAAAAATAAACACATTCAGAAATTGAAGCCAGAAAGCCTGAACTCTGAGAAGAGCAGTTTCCAGCCATTTAGTCTGGAAGCAAATTACAAATAACTTGTTCAGATTTTATATTCAGAGCATTATCATCTTGTTTTCCCAAAACTTGGTCTCTGCATGTCTAAGACCTAAACTCAGAGGGAAACTAATAATCACACACAGTAGTTTTTTAAGGTATTTGAACATATTTGAAGGTAAATCTAGTAGGGTAAGGTGAAAAGCTAGTAACGGAAAGTACTGTGGAAAGCAAATACAACTGATGAGAAACCTCGATCAACATCTTGGTTAGAAAGTACAGGACTTATTTAGAGAAACAGGAATATATTTAGAGCCTTCTTAGGGAAAATGTAAGTCTGTTCATGCAAGAAGTGACAAAGGTCCAAATCTACCTCTAAAAGTACTCTGCCCAAAGCTTTAACTCACCTTTACTCCCACGGAGCCATTAGGCATCTTCTGAAGTTCATAGGGAAGTTTGGCCCTCTCAGCTTGTATGTAAGGATCTTCAAATGCTCTTCCATGCAGTTTTTTGAAACCATGTAATGCATTTTTTACATTTGTGACAATCTGTGGAAAACATATTTTAATTACCTGTGACATGCAGGCTACAGAGGACTGTGAAGAAAGAAACTCTTGTTATATTGGGTTTAATTCACACACTGACCTGTGTAAAGCCCTACACGTTCACTGGAAAGAAACGTGTGGGGAGAGAAAGAAGAACCTATTTTTTAATCTATGACCTCCATTAAAAAAATTCAAGTTTACTTCTCTCTGTAATATTCATTAGCTTGCTGCCATCAATTTTCATGGTGGTTTTTACATTAGAGGAACTTTCTGATACATTATGCAATATTTGAGATCGTATATTGTTGCAATGGTTGTCAGTAGGAATAAATGAAGTTATTACCAACAATAACCTTATATGAACCTTCAACTAATGAACACATTTCACTTCCTTTGAAGTTCTCCTCTAATTCAAATCCCAACTGGATGTGAAGTCTCCCCACACCTGTTCTCTCATCAGTGTTTTAACCCAGTTACTTTAAGGACAGGCTTTTAAGCAAAGAAAGGGCCAGAAGAAACAAATCCCAATGAACACAGTATTTAAGCTATCAAAAGAAACTATTTCAGGGTAATCTTGTCCAAGATGCACTACCTTACTAATCTAAACAGCAAATTTCCTAGCTGGGAATACTGACAAGACACTTTCTCAGCAGCGAAGTTCAGGGGCTGAGCTCAGATAAAAAGTGTAAAGTTGCTCAGAATGAAAGCAATATGGCTTCTGCATTTACTGCCTGCTCATGGTACATCAGGAGGGCTCTACTACCTTCACATCTGCCAGGCAAATCTAAGGGGAAGGAAATCTTCAACATGCTAACATCGTGCATGGACACAAAAAAAGAAAGCAAGACCTGACCTATTTTGAATTTGTAGATTCATATCGTCTATTACAAATCTTTAACATGTGTTTTTTTTCCCCAAAGGGAGGTTTTCCTAGGTTACAAGTGAATTTACTGAGGATCAGAGAAATTTCACTTCCGTTCAAAGCTCCAAAGTGAGATAGTACATAACTAAAATGCATTCATTTCCCATTATAAGCAACAACCAGTATCTCTATGAAACTCTGTTCAACTTCAGTTTCAGCTTTTCTAAAGCATAAGCACATTATCCCTCCCTGCCCTAGTAGAGATTTAATTACGAACTCTATTCCTGCTGTCATGAGTAAGCAAGAAAATAATATTATTTTACTGGTGAACAAGCAAGGTTTTCTGTTTCTTCTCTTCCCCCCCCATGACAAAACAATGCAGAAATACAGTTGCAATTTTAATACAGGGTTGTTAATATTGTTGAAGCAGTAACTGTGAAATATACACTTACTGCAGAAAATTCAGTTCAAAACATAAAATTATCAACTTTATTTGTTACTTGTCTTCCCACAGTTCAACAGGACATAAGTCTAATAAGTCACAATAAAGTTTATGATCCATTTACCTGGCTCTTTGCTGCATTCCCAATGGCTCGGGTCTTGGATCCTAAAGATATACATGCTCTAAGTAAGAACAGAAAAAAAAATCAGCTTTAAAAGATAACATCATAAAACATTTCCATGCTACTGTAGAATATCTACAAAAATTCAAGTAGCAGAATATGGATGTGGTGTTTAAGAGCATTACTGCATAAAGTACCAGAACTTGAAGTGGAATTCTAGTTATTCTTTTCAAATTAGTTTAGAAACTGCATGCACTGCAACTGTTGTCATTATAATTGCATTTAAGGAATTCTGTAAAAGTTTCTACAGATCTCATCATGAAGGAAAGGCATGAATAGTCATTTTTAGGTCACAGGTAACTGTGAAAAGAAGCCTGTGACATTTAGTTTAAGAACCTGAACTTTACCAGTCAGGTTTTTTTGACTCAATAAACCCTTGAGTCTTGACAGGACCACATTCACATTGCAAGAGCCCTTACCAACAATCCTGACACAACAACTGGAAAAAACCCCAAACATCTAAGGCCAGGGGAGCTGAACAGCCCACAAGCTGTTGAGCACGTCCGTAACTGAGGACTACCAAGTATATGCTGCAAACAGGCAAAAGGAAGGATATCTGGGAACAGCTCCCAGGGTTTTGGAAGCTCTAATGCAGTCCACAGACCCTTACTGTTTCTTGTGTCACCACTGAACACCCTCTGGCTCAGCAAAGGCTGCCCCAGGTCACAGTCACCATCTGGCCCCAGTCACCATCTGGCCCCCCTCACCACCATCTTTGGAAATGGTTGGGTTTTTTTCTGGAAGTTACTATCACCATACTTCACATTACAGATTTGAAATAGAACTCTTCCCCAAAAAGGAATGAATCTGGCTAAAACCATTCAGGAGTAAGTAACAGACACAAGCCAGATTTCATACAGTTCAAATGTAATTGTAATTGTTTAATGAATGTATAAAGGTCACTACAGCAGATTACTTCCTGCCTCCTCTCCATCATCACTACAACGAGGCCACTGTAATTTGAGAGTATCCTCTAGCAACCTCTTCTCTGTGACACCACACTGAACATGCAAAACCTCCAGATTTCACTGCTGCAAACAGACAAGGCATTGCCCTACATTTTCAGATATGTAGTTCAGCTTTCACCATTTTTAACATCACAATGCTACAATTCCCAATCATACCTTGTGATAATTAACGAAGGTCAGATAAAAGAGCTCTTTATATAGTAAGCAAATGGTTTACAAACTACTGCCATTGTATCACCTTTTCAGTGTAGGAATCTGACTCTGCTGACAGACAAATTACTGGCACATATCCCACGCAGAGCATGAAGCATCAAGTCAGAAGCTACTTGACACACCACACCTCCTGCCAGGGTTTACTTCAATTACTCACTGCCAGCACAGAGGGATGGATGGTTTCTTCTTCCATTGGCTGGGAAGCAACAATGCCAAAAAATGACTGTGCTCTCTTTGGCACCAAAAACTTCTGCAGTATCCAAAACAGTCCTCTAGGAAGAACATCCACCCTAAGGATACAAGGATACTGAACTGCTTCCCTTACCACTACCCTCAGCTTGTTTTGAAGAGAGCTGTAGAGCAGTACCCAGACTTCACTAAGGTAGCAACTCTCCTCACCGGAAGGACATTTCAATCCTCTCCCTGCATTGTTTTGAAGAAGATGTTACCTTTGTGATCTTAATTACAGCATGTGATCACATTAAACATACGTGGTCTGAAAAAAGTTACTAAAACATTATGAGCTATCAACAATTGGCTCTCTTCCCACAAAACTACAGTGGTGAGGGAGAGCACCTGAAAGGGCCACTAGCCATGAGTTTAATGTGCTAGGAGCACTGGAAACACGTACAACAGACTAGCTGGAATTGCAAGTTCGGAAAAAGCCAAGCATCAGTTAACTTCCAAAGAGATGCAAGGACCAAAAGCCTTAAAATATACAAGTTCTACCAAAATGGATGGCTTCATAGCAAAATCTTTTTCCTTTCTTTCTAGAAATATTCGTTCTAAAACTTCCAAGATGATACGCATCTTACAAATACTAACAATCCCAAGCATCAGACTACAGGATGTACATTTCAGACAAAGGACCACCTGAATGTTTTAACAACAGGGATACTGGATTTATGACTTAAGAATCCTACGTTAAACTGTGGTAATACAGATCTTCCCCAAGTCTACACTGCTTTTGTCTGTATGCTGTAAATGATGATGTTCACAGCAGCACTGCACAGGTATCTGAGCCAGCTTCAAAGCTGGAATCTGGCTGCACTGATGAGCCTTGCCCAGAAAGAGCACAGCCAGGACTGTCCTATCTTTAGGCCCCGTGCCAGGATCTTTACATGGCTTAATAACAGCACCCTGCACATGAAAGGGTTACTGGCTTGCCCAGGTATTTTTACACAGTGCTACACAGATGCAGCAGACTCTGGATTTCTGGGAGTAAGTCACAAGTATTTGGGACATCTCCAATCCATGTTAACTATTAGCTAACTTAAGTATCTGAATGACGTAAGCACCTGTATAGAAACATTTAAAACATTTACTGTGTTGCTTTGTGCAACAGGAAGAAAAGTTTTAACAATTCAAGAGTTAGATCTGTCTACATCACTCAAATCCTGTCTGAAATAAAGGTTTAGCAACTATTACAAACTTACATAACAGTAATAAATTTGTTACATTTCTATTGACCTTTCTGGTTTGCCTCAAGATAACAGTGTTAGAAAGGATGTTCCTCAAGTTGTCTTGTATTACTGCATTTTGAGACAGAGAAGGGCAAGGAAAATGTCACTTTAAGTGAGACACCCATTGCCTTTAAGTGTACGTGTACTCCAGATGCTGTAATTGCCAACTTGTACATCCTTCATAATCCCTCTGCTAATATCTTGAAAGTACAGTTAATCAGATATTAATGTGGAAAATATTAAATGCAGAGAAGCCTCTCTGCAAAGAACATACTCCAAGAACAACTAAGAATTGGAAGTGCTCTTCATCATAAGCGGGGAGGAAACTACAGCTGCCTGAGGATTCTTTGGGCAACAACTTCATGGGATTCCTTGCACTGAATTTGAAAAGTCTCTGAATTTCAGTTCTCATAAAACATGCACAAGGATAATGACTGCCTCAGAGCTAATGTGAAAAGTATATTTTTCTAAAGAATAAAAGGAGTATTAAACAGTATTCCCATTAAAACAGAAAGTATGCATTTCAGCACTCAATTTCTTCGCACTTCTAAAAAACAACTTTTTAGAAAGCAATCCAACACCTACATTTCTCCGACATCAAAAGGAGCGCAATGCTGAGGTTACTACAGCCTCAGACAGCAGAAACAGCTTTCTCTGTTGGCTACAAGTTCCTTTAATAAACGGAAGCACCATCCAACACCCGATTTTCATAAGTATTACACGAATTCCTTAATCCTCCTTGAAAATTATGCACAGACAGAGCTGTGAAAATCCTAGACGTATCCCATAGAAACAGAGGAGCAAAGTCTCCACCTACTCTTGCGTATCCCATCATCACAGACGCTGCCCACTGCCCCCCCCTCTTCCTCGCCAGACCTCGGTATTCCACGGCCACCAGATACGGTGCAAGTAAGAACAGGTTTAAAGAGAGGGAATTCATCGCGGCACTTCCCTGTTTCCCTGGTGAATCAACGTCCTCCACCTTCCCAGTCTCGCCACCACTCCATCATGTAATTGTTAATGAAAACGCTTCCAGCTCTGGCAGGCGTTCCAGAGTTGGGGAAACACATGCACTCCACCGAGATCTTTGGCTACCCGAAACCAAAGCGTGACAAGGACGGAAATAAAAGTCTGCTGTGCCTCCGGAGCGGTGCGGCACATTCACAGCGCAGGATTTCAAGGACACGCAGAGGCAGCAGCCAGGACAGCCAGACGCAGACACACGAATGCCTCCCGGGCAACCTCCAGCCCCAGCACATGCACCGCCGCGCCTGTTCTCGCAAGAGGCACTCTCCCGGCTCCC